TAAATAGTTCTTTCAGCAACAACATCAACAACAACGGCATAAACAACAGCAATAACATCAACTCCAAAACATCAATCCTAGCCAACGGTCATCAAAATTTGCTCAACTATCAACATTCAGCCCACAGAAAATTTAACAATTTTTTTTCTTTCGGTTAGATTTAAAATTTTTTTCAAAATATTCGGAATAAGTTTAATGAGTTTTATTATTTGGTCGCTGCTGCTGCTGGCGTTGCCACAAAATCGTTTGACTGAAGCTTAAAATGAAATCAACATTTTTTTGGATGATGTGATATTCCCTGATTAATTCAAATAAAAAGTTCATTTATAATTTAATCAAATTAAATTCAATTACGTACACACGCACGTACCTTTGTGTGTATGTATGTGTGTGTGCATGTGTATGTGTGTATGTATGTGTGTGTGCATGTGTGTGTGTGTGTGTTACAAAACTCCTTTGTTTATCCTCTCATCGAGTATATAACACAATTGTATTTTATTTTTCTTAGCAAAGAAACATGCGACAAAAAAGCGGCATATAAACACATTCAAAGCTTCTTGCATGTGTACAGAATAGATACATGAAACATGCACATATAAAACACACATAGTACATTTCTACTCGTACTTACGAAAACCACAGGCAGACATACAAACACATATCTGTACGCATGTAATCACTTATACAAATTTGCATACAAACGTTATTTATTTGCAAACATACATACTAACACATGTACACAGACGCACGCACACATCTGTACACACACACGAACAGACATAGTCACATGTAACACACATACAGTTGCACTCCTACACTTGCCCACCCACACGTACACACACAAACACACGCGCACACACCGGCAAACACACTGAGCAACAAGAAGGACTAACGTTTAACAAGCTCGTTTATTGATCGCTTAACACCGGTTTCGCTAATGCCATCATCAATCACTCAGCCTAATTATCGCCCATCATTGTTTACATAACCGGAACCCTTTCATCTTCTGACCATAGATAAACTAATCTCAATTGAACTTGAACTGTAAATTTTCTAGCGCTAAATTCTTGCCTATTTATTTGACGTTTAAATTCGATTGCGTACAAGTATGTACAAGATGGATGTACGCGCAAATGAGTGTATATGTATACAAAAGTGTACATACATAACATTTTTATGACATATTTGCATAAATATTCGAGATGTATGTATGTTTATACTTTTATAGTTTGATATGTGCTTTTATATCTTTTTTGATATTTGTTATATACGTCTTTGTGTGTGTGTGTGTGTGTTTATTTGGTTATCTAGTACGAATGGGCTATCTACCTTTCTATGTGTGTGTTTGCACGCATGTGTGTGTGTGTGTGTGTGTGTATGTATTTATGTATTTGAGTATTTGTATGTGTCTGTATGTGTGTGTATTTATGCCCTGGTACGGTTGTATTTGTGTGAGGTTGTCAGTCTGAAGTTTGGGAACGCGGATAATGAAAACTCAATCAAGCAAATTTTTCAATATCCTTCAACGATACTTTGATACTCAACGTCTCTGAGATACAAATTAAAAATGTGCCTGAATATCAAGTTATACTAATCAGTTGTATACAAATTATGCTCATTTCATATGTATTTTGTATGTCTGCACGTTTGTATGTTTCAATGGATTTGCTATTGTATTTAATTAGTTACGTGTATGTTTTGTATATACGTGTGCGCGTGTGTTTTTGCGTGTGTGTGCGCGCGCATACATCTATTGTACATTTGTGTATAATTGTAAAGCAATTAATATTTTCACATCATCCATGCGTGAACCTCGCGTACGTATTCATAGAGCCTATTCGCGTTTATAGATTTCTTTTCATTTCTGTATATAAAATTTATTAACATGTGGTGGATAAATACATGTATGTGTGTGTGTGTGTGTATGTTTGCTTGAATGTGTGCATGTCTGCATACAAATATGTGTGAGCACATATGTTAGTATATAAATATTATACGTGTAAGCAAATGAATATACAAACCTTTTGAACATGAACCTCTCGAATATACATACAAATAAACATACAAACATCTTAAACATACATACATACAAACATCTCAAACATGCAAACATCTTCTTAAACATACTACATAAACATACAAAGCAAGGCAAACCTGCAAAACGCATAAACATACAAACAGATGAATAAGCACAGTGTAAACAATGCCTGATGTTATGAGCGATGAACACGTTAAAAAGTGACCACTTCTTAAGGTAGAGGCCTCGAGCTAACTTATCATTTACACTTGTTAAATACCTTTGCGTGTGCTTGCGTGTATATGTGCGTCTGCGTGTATGTGTGTATTTGCTTGTATGTGTGTTTGAATATTTGCGTTTATGTTTGATTGTATGTTTGCGTTTTTGTATTTTTGATACGTGTGCGTGTGTATGTGGGTTTCATTTGTAACTTTTAATTGTCAGGTTTGTTTTTTTTTGTGGTATAAAAAATTTTTACGAATTATAAATAAATATTTGCTTAGAGATCACACACAAGAACACACACAAGAACACACGCACGCACGCACGCACACGCACATTCGCACTTCTTCACAAACAAATAAGATTTGCATCTAAACGGTGTTATTTTTTTTAATTATTCTTAAAGACCGTTTCAGCATTGTTTTTGCTTTGCTTTTCAATTGTTTGTTCCCGCCTTCATTCATTCATTCATTCATTCATTCATTCATTCATTCATTCATTCATTCATTCATTCATTCATTCATTCATTCGTTTATTCATTCATTCATTTTTTAATCATCCATTCTTTCATTCATCTCCATTGTTTTTTTTCAACCTTATAAATAGCATACATGGAATAGCACACACTTAGCAGATAGCAAGTCCATGGCATTAACATAAAAACAATGCGACAACATCTTTTTGATACAAAGATATTAACACTCTTTTACTTTACCGTTTTTAAATAGCTGTGCACACACACGCGCGCATACGCACAAATACGCACACACACACATACAAACGCGTGTACACACACAGAGATGCACACGCACACAAATATATATATATATATATATATATATATATATATATATATATATATATATATATATATGTGTATATTTAACATGAATATATAAACAAGTTTTAACACAAAGCATGTATTCATTAGTGCGTTGATAAGCGTACAATCAAATGTGTAAACACACACACATCACACATACACACCTCACACACACACACACCACACACACACACCTACATTGCACAAACGTGATACAATTAAATTAAACAGACACAACGGGAACATATAAAATTATTTTATGTGTGAAAATCCTGTGATAAATCGACATACAAATAAAACACACGCATACACGTATAAACACATACACACACATGTACACATACACACACATATGTACAAACACAGACAAAAAAAAACACCCATAACAATCATCTGCAACCATACATCCGACTGAGCACCCATAGCGCATTTACACGGACTGATACATGAAAAATGTATACATACGTGTATACATGTATACATATAAACTTTACACATATACAATAACAACACATACAAACATGAGTATATACATACGAAAAAAACATGTGTTTTTTATGTATGTTTATACACACGACAATATAAACAATCATGTTATACATATACTTGTACAGTAGAATACATCTTAAAAATATTTACTGATCGATTTTATAAGCAAGATACATCAATTATATGTAAAAAAAATTATATTATTTTATGTTATATTATGTTTTTTTGTTATAAAACTAAAATACGGAATATTGAAAAATTGAACCAGAAACTGATCAAAGCAGAAAATGCAGTGATGTTTCTTAGCTTTTATGTTATGTGTTTTTATATGTTATATATATATTATATATATATATATATATATATGTGTGTGTGTGTGTGTGTGTGTGTGTGTTTGTTTGTTTGCGTGTGAGTGTGCGTGCATGACCAAAATTGTAAAGATGTACATAAATTTGTTAAACGAGCAATGCAAACGCGTATAGTAAATATGAAAGTTTCTCTTTTCCTTTATCAGGCAATCCATGCATCCGTTCATCCATACATTCATTTATCTATCTGTCACTCTGCTCATCTATCCACCCATCCACTTATTCATCCATCCATCCATCCACCCATCTATCCATCCGTCCATCCGTCCATCCGTTCATCTTGTGATAAGTTCAAATTTTCCAGATACACGAATTACACGGCAATTAGCTGCGGACCAATACATTCTTGATGGTGATATAATGATGATTAGAAGAATGATAATGATAATGGTGGTGGTGATTTCGATAATGATGTCAATGAAAAATGATGGTGATGATGGCAGACGGTGATAATGATGGTAACGATGATAGATGGTGATGATGACAATGATAATAATAATGTGTGGTGTCTGTATGTGTTTGTTTGTTTGTGTGTGCGTGCGTGCGTGCGTGCGTGTGTGTGTTTATAGGTTTTTGGTCCTTTGAAAATAATAACGAGATTATTAGCCATCATTTGTACGCGAGACGATATTGTAAATAGACGTTTGGTTAAGTGAATGATTGAATAGATAGACAAGTGGAGTGATTGAATTGATTGAAAAGTTGAGTAGTTTGTTTTAATTGAATGGTTGGTTGATTGGGAGAAATGGTTGATTGGTTGGTTAAATGATTGTCTTAATATATTATGAATTACTTTTTGTTGTCTCGTGTGTGATTCTATTCTAATCAATGATGAAATGAAATATTGTAAATATCAGCAGGCGCAACTTTCTACCCGAACTTTCCACATTTTCCCCTTCCACCCCCTCTGTCAGTCCCCACCTCCTCAACGTCATCATCAATGGCCCTACAGCAACAACTATCACTCAACAACAACATCCACCCATCTATAAATTTCTTCGACAGCAGCAACAACAACCGCAACGTCGGTGACGACGACGAAGATGGCGACGACGACGACGAGGAAGATGATGACTCGAAGATGAGAAGGATGAGGACGAACTTCAGCAGCTGGCAAATGGAAGAATTGGAAAAAACTTTTCTGGATAGTCACTACCCTGATGTCTATGCCAGAGAGGCCCTGGCCTGTCGACTCCAACTTAATGAATCTCGGATACAGGTTGGCCTGCGTGTTTGTGTGTGTGTGTGTTTTGCACGTGTGTTTCCGTATGTGTCTGTGTTTTTGCACGTGTTTTTGGTAATGCGCGTGCGTTTCACACACACACACACACACACACACACATACACAAATTTACGATTGTGAACATGTTTGTTTGGTTAATATGTCATCATTATGTTTGTCGTTGTTAATACTACTGGCGTGATAGTTTTATATATGTATGTTATTGACTTTGCAGTTCTATGCTCCGTGTTTAAATTTTTCATTTAATTTTTAAATGCCAACCTATCCAGGTGCATAATTTGTTTTTGTTCCTTGCGGAATCTTAAATTAACAGAAATTGCTTCAAATGCCTTAAAGAACATTGTCTCGTTACGAGCGAATTTTACGTAAACAAAGACACAGAAATAAAAATCCCATCTTTTTAAGAAATATCGAAACGCTGAGTACATACCGCTACAATTAGCCAGACGTCATTCATGAGACGTCAAAAATAAAACAAACTCACTTTATTTCTGAGCTTAACAAACGACATCATTAAAAAAAATCAAATTCAAATTTTTTTACGGCAATTGTATGCGTGGAGGGAATTAGTTCGAATGATGAGCCAGACACAAAAGCGAACAATTCGACGGTAAATGTATGTAATAGACGCATTAAGGGATGAAAACGACTCTCTCTCTCTCTCTCTCTCTCCCCTCCCTCTCTATCCCTCTCTCTCTTTCTCTCTCTGCTGAGTAGAGTAGCATATCTCTTCTTTTACAACGGAATATTGTTTAATTGAATTCTGTCAAAATGTCGTATTTAATAGGATGTTTGGAAATTTAGAATGTTCTATTATAAAGATAAGGTTTAATAATACGTATGAAGCAGAAAATTCATGTTATTGGACTTGCACATGCACACAGACAAAAAGAAACACACACACACATGTACAAACACATAAACACCCACACGTGCACATACACACCCACACGTGAACATACACACCCACACGTGCAATTACACACCCACACGTGCACACACACACACAAATGCACACAGTACATAGGTTAAAAATAAGTACATAGGTTAAAAATTGTCTTGTCGCATAGGAGTGGTATTTAAAAAGCTTCCACGCCTGACGACTGCAAAAACAATGCAACAATCCAGTGTCTTTGGCATTTCAAACCGGAAATGAACAGTTTGTATAATTGCTTAATATCGCTCGCACCGAGAAACAATGACATCATTAGAGTTGGTTGGTTAGCGTGAAATCTTTGCGTAGAAACGCACTGATGTGAAACTTTTGAGAGTTGAAATGTAGAACTCTACAATCATTTGAATTATGGTATGTACGAAATGAAACCAACGAATGATCTTTATATTATAAAGAAATGGCTTGCAAAACTGTTTCATATAGACGTGACTATTAGAAGTTTAGTTTAGTACTTACAAAACAACAACTGCCAATGTAAACATCAACTTACACAAGCAACAACCAAATGCCAACAACGGTATTTCTGCTGTTTTATTAATTTATTTAATGTTTTACAACGAGATATAATGTTAATGAAACAATTGGATTCCTCATCAATTAACAACATACACACGTACATGTAACATACTCAACTAACAACAACAACAATATCAAAACTCCAACAACATCACAACTCTAACAACATCGCAACAACAACAACAACATCACAACTCTAACAACATCGCAACAACAACAACAACATCACAACTCTAACAACATCGCAACAGCAACAAATTTAGCGACAGCAACCTCACAACTACGCATTATATAGCTGCAACAACAACCGCAACATCATTAATGTGAGACCGGATTAATTATTAAAATCATAATCCCCAAAAATAAGAAAGAATAGAAAAACAAATAAACAAATTTAGGAAAGGAACTAAACACGTGTGCAGCAAGCGAATGATTGTCGAAAACAATGGAAAAATAAAATAAAATAGCATACTTAGAAAGAGAAAACTTCTAAAGCACAATTTTTCATTACTGTTCATTATTCCATATTTTCTTCATTTCTGTCCGTCCATTGAAAATAAATCATAACAACTTCATTTTATATTGTCTCTAAGGTCCGTGCATATCACACGCACGCACGCACGCACAATCATATTCAAGTGCACGCACAAACATACATCAACGCATATGCACTCATGCAATTTCGCACACACATAAGCACATATAAAGACACTTACACATACATACTCACATTTACACACATACACACTCACACTTACACACATACAATAACAAATACACGTTCAGAAACACATAAGCGCGTGCACTTATTAACACTTATATAAAGAATAACAAACACACGCACACACACTCACGCACACACTGACAAAGACTCACAAATTCATAAACGATTTTTAGGCTTGGTAAGCAAGCATCCAGTAAATATTACAGGGCTATTATTATATTATTGCTCATCAATTTCGCGTTTATGTACGCCAAAAGTTTTGTTCATATTTATGTGTATATATTTGTATGTATGTGTATGTATGTGTGTACATGTACAAGTGAATGTGTGTGTGTGTGTATGTATAGCTAGTGTATGTAGACACGATTTGAAATTTTTGTATCTCAATAATGTCGTATTATCGGACCGTTTTACATCCACAATTCCACAGTATAAAATAAAATCAGTGCAATTAAAATGATATGACGCACTAGCTTATTGTTTTTTTTTTGTTTTTTTTTATTCAAAACTCATAATCATTACTAAACAAATTAACTCATACATACATAAAAGTCTCCATTCGTCGTTTCATTGTTTTGAGGCAGAAATGATTTTTCGTTGATGTCCATTTATGAGGTACACACAATAAAGAAACATGAATGATCGTGTAGAACAATTGACAATATCATGATAGATTTCAAGATATCATTGTTTGTTATGACTAATAATTATAGGTACATTAGTGCAGTTTTTCATTAAGTATCATCATTATCATTGTTGGACAATCTTTTCCTTTAAAAATGTTTTTTTTTATGATTCAAATTAACGAAGGAATGAATTTGTATGGAAAAGTAGATGAATGATAAATTTAATGGAGATATTGAATGGATGCAAAAATTTAACGACATCTCATACAAATTCATTCGTTTAATAATATCAAACAATTTAATACACACACATCTTAAGTCGAACATACACACAAACACTTTCACAAACACACACACGCATACACACGTATACACACACGCATACACACACACAACGCGCACACACACACTGTCACAAACACACCACATGCACACCTTCACAATTCCACAAGCACACACACATAATACACAAACAAACATTCACAAGTACACACACAATCAACAAACCTCACAAACAAACAACAAAACAAAAACCAACAGGTATGGTTTCAAAACAGGCGAGCGAAATGGCGGAAGAGAGAGAATACGAAGAAGGGCCCCGGCAGACCGGCCCACAACGACCAACCCCGTTCTTGCAGTGGCGTACCCCTTTCGGCTGAAGAACTCCGCATAAAAGAACTACGCAAGGAAGAACGTAAGAAGCGAAAAGCCCGCGACAAAATGTTGAAAAGTAAAATTTGTTCGAAATCAAATGGCGGTACGAAAAGCGGAAAATTTGAATTTGTTGACGTAATCGATCGGCGCGATGACGTCACTAGTGGTAAAAATGATAAAGCGCTTAACTTAAATGTTGATGGTGGTTTTATTAATGGTAGATACAATGGTGGCAAAAGAGTTTCAGCGGTAGCTAGTCAGCAAACGTCTTCACTGCAGTCTATCAATAATTTTTATGAGAAGTACACATCATCCATGCATGAAACCGTCAAATTTTTCGGCAGACAAAATCATCCAAACAATGATGACGATGATAATGTTGATGGTAAACATGATAATATTGATGATAACAACGATGATGTTCGCCCAGCATCTAGCAACAACAACAACAGCAACATGTTAAACAAGATTGAGAAGGACAACTATGAGGATTACAACAAGAAATGTCATAACAGCAGTGACATTAACAACGATGACAGCAACAACATCAGCAAAAACAGCAACAAAAACAACAACTTCAGAAAATGGTTATCTTCTCATGGTGGGGAAGAAAATGTTGATAAAAAAATTAAGCTAGCTAAGAAAAGCATCACTCCTAATGTTGGAATTGATGCGGACATTGTTGACCACAAAACTGATGTGGCTGACGGTGTCGACGATTACGAAATTAATATTGAAGGTAACGAAACAAATGACAACAACAACAACATCAAGCGTGACAACAATAACCACAACATCAACACCACCACCAACAGCAGCAACAACAAGCATGACAACAACAACAACATTAACAACGAGTATAACATTAACAAAACCATCAACATTATCAATAATATTGCCATATTCAACACTGACCGTCATTACAACGAATTAAACAGCAATAACGAAAACAACAACAACAGTAATAATAATAATAATAATTACGAGAGTAAGACAAATTGTACTTCCGAAAAGTCATCCCATTTGCCTACACACACGCATACACACCGGCACAACGAACTGAAAACCGCAAGAATACCGACAATCGGTTTCAGTATCGACAAATTACTCGATATTCGGTGATCGAGTAGCTGAGCGGTACATCGCCTATATTATCTTGCGTGGTTTCGAGAAATATTTTATGAGGTTTATGAGATTTTATGACATTCTTTTTGAGAACGTTTTTTTCTGATTTATTTGAAAACATTTTTGTTATTAAATTTTTCTTCTTGAAAATGAGTTTGTGTCCTCGATTGATATTTGTTGGTTGTTACAATTTGTTAACAGTTCATCGTCTAGATATTATAAAGAAATAATTGTATTAGAAGTATTATTACTATGGACGATACTACTACTACTTATACCTATAACAACTACTACTACCTACTAATACTACTACTGTCAATACTATTACTATTACTACTAACTACTACTACTAATGCGGCAGCTGATGCCTCTACTACTACTGCTACTTCTACCACTTCTTCTGGTACTACTACTACTACGACTGCTACTTCTGCTACTACTACTAGTACTACAACAACAATAATAACAACAAAAACAACTACTACTACTACTATTATTAATAATAATAATGTTATTATATCTATAAATAAAAATTATAATATTTTCAGTTTTAGTTTGAATGCAATAAAAGATCGTCAAATTAAAACCAGCCTCTCTTTGTCTGTATATGTCTGTGTGTATGTGCGTGTGTGCATACGTTTGGTTGTTTGTGTATGTGTGTATGTCTGTCTGTGTGAAATGACATCAGTGAAATGACACTAATGACATTAACTAATTGCCATTAACACATTTTAAAAATTTTCGAAGTGAAGAATAATAAAAAAATTAACTAACAACAATAACATCAATTACAACAACAACAATTACAGCAGTAACAACAACATTAAATTCAATAAAAAAAAGTATATTGTAACGGAAGCGATGATGATGATGATAATAGTTATAACCTGAATGATTATGATAACAATGATGATAATGATGATAATGAAAATCATGCTGGGAGTTATGATAATGATGATGATGATTTGCCGATTCTTAGCACATGTTTGCACCGGCCAATATTCACGAAAGGTAAAATAATGATCTCTATATAAAAAAAAAATTATCAATGTTCATAGCAATAATAATAATAATATGAGTAATAATAATATAAATATTATTGTAATTATTCTTATCATTATTGTTAATATTATTATTTTACTTTTATTTTTAGCAGTAGTTACACTCTTGTTTTTAAAAATATTGTTAATGCAGAAAGAAAATGATATAGCTTTTTAATGAGAATTATTATCGGAGAATTATAACATGACGATGAAGGGGCTGAAGGAGGAAGAAAGGAACAAACAGACAAACGAACGAATAAACAAACAATGAATAAACTAACAAACAAACAAACGAACGAACGAACGAACAAACGAACGAATGAACAAATAGCTAAATAAATAAATAAAGCAATGACAAATTAAACGCGTAGATATATTTTTTTAACATTGCCTAACCCACTCAAAAATGTTTTCGCAAACCTCCAACACATTTGAAAATGTATGGTTGCACTATTGAACCGAACTAAACCGATAACCACACGCATACCCAGCTACATACATGCATACATACATACATACATACATACATACATACATACATACATACATACATACATACATACATACATACATACATGCATGCATACATACATACATACATACATACATACATACATACATACATACATACATACATACATACATACATTCGCCTCTCGGTGCCGCACCCGACCCCAAGCCTGGGTTGCCCACACGGTCGACGGCCGCATCGGTCTCCGGTAATCCTCTCGACCTGGATTACTCTGGTGTTTTTGACAAGCTGACGGCCGTGCTGAAATGTGTACCGGTGTACGACCATATCCCTAAGCCATGCAGGGAGAAGTTCGCACATGATCTGAACGCCTTGCTGACGGCTGTTTGTAATGACCCTGGTGACCCGGCTCACTAGGTTAGATTCCACTGTTTTGTCCCATACGTCTTACAGAAGACTTCCAGAGGGGGTCGCCGGGTCAACCAGGGCAATCTGGTCAACAAGCGCCTAAGCGAATATTCAACTATTGGTCTTGAAACCCTGGTACTGTGCTTTGATGGGTTCAATAATGCCAAATCACAAAAGCACAACCCCGATCGGTGGATCAACGCTGTGTCATCTTGTATTGAACAGAGAAACCTGTCCTCGGCTGTCAGACTTGTCTGTTTGCCGGAGGGCCTGGCGGAGAGCTCGCCGGCCACCTTCGATAAATTATGTTCCATCCACCCAAAAATTCCGGTGGACAGGCGGGTCTTTTCCGCATTGACACCAACGGCTGGTTGCGTTTCTCCTGTCAAGGTGCTAAAGGCCGTTAAATCGTTCAAAAACGGTTCTTCTGGAGGCCTGGATGGCTTACGACCCCAGCACCTTAAGGATGTTTTTCAGGCCCCTTGCCAATTGACGACACACTGAACTCCTTAACCCAATTCATTAATTTGATCCTATCTGGAGCTTGCCCACTCTCCGTCCGCCGGTTCTTTTTGGAGACCGGCTAATAGCTTTAAATAAGAAAGACGGAGGGGTCAGACCGATTGCGGTCGGGAACGTTTGGAGGAGGTTGGCCGGCAAATGTGTCTTGGCCCTGGTCGTGGTCGAACTCAAGACCAAATTCTACCCAACTCAGTTGGGTGTCGGGATTAAGGGTGGTGCTGAGGCCGCTGTTCATGCGGTTCGAAGATTGGTCACCGACCTCCCCGATCAATGGGGGTTTCTCCCCTCGATAGAATTCTTGCCAATATGTATCGAGGTTCTCGGCCCGATGGACCCCAACACCCTTAAATTTCTTAAGGCAATATGTAAAATGATCAGCGTCAGATCAGGAAAGAAAATTGTCCAGATCACCTCACAATTAGTGATGTTGTTATTATGTGTCATGTATGCCTTTAGCTTAGCCTTAGCCATTAACTTATTGACATAAAATTAATTGAATTCAATAAAATTTTTTTTCTATTTCTAACATTTTTAAAAGTTGATAGACGCTTAAATCCGGCCCTAAATCCGGCCACCAAATCCGGCCGGGGCCGGATTCGACCGGATTTGAAAAAAAAGCCGGATTTTGGCCGGGGCCGGAGCCGGGGCCGAACTTCGGTGCATCCCTAATACATACATACATACATACATACATACATACATACATACATACATACATACATACATACATACATACATACATTCATAAATACATGCATGCATACATACATACATACATACATACATACATACATACATACATACATACATACATACATACATACATACATACATACATACATACATACATACATACATACATACATACATACAAACACACACATACACACAC